CCCCAAAACCCCAAAACCCCAAAACCCCAAAACCCCAAAACCCCTGGAGGCATAAATAATTTGATTATTTATTTAAAATGAACTCTTACGGACATAAGCCTGACTATCCCTTTCAGCCAAAGGAGTTGAAACCTCGTTTCGCAACTGATAGCTTAGGCGAGTTTATGAAGTATAGCAATCAGTCTAAGCCAAAAGGCTCTGAGGGATACGGAGATCCCAAGGGAAATTATCATTATAGTAATATTCTATTCTGGCTAAAATTTTCTTCATTCATAACTTTTGCCATAAATAACCTGGTGAAGGTAGCGTTATTGCACTTTTGATCAGGTTGTAACATTCCTATGAAGTTTTACTAAATAATTTTACTCTGATGCACAATCTTAAAATTTTATAGAAGAGGAACAGAAGAGGCCTGAATATGCAAATATCAATTATGGTAGTACAGGGACTAATAATTATAATTACCCAAGCCATGGCAGGCTGAGGAGTGATGCGACAAATTATTCTGAAACCACCAACTCTTCCTACCCGAGGGATAGTAGGCTGAGTAGCAGTGGAAGAAGAGTCAGCAATGGATTCAATACCCTCGGTAAGAATATTGTAAGCAATGGAGGATTTTCTGAGCCTGTTACAAGAGAAGGCGAGCATAATTCAACTATTAAGAAGCCTACCCAAGTCAGGCCTCTTAATAATGCTTACCAAGATACTGGCTATGTTTACAAGATGAACAGCAACACAAGTAAAGCTTCAACTGGGATAACAGAAGAGTCTGAAAAAGACAGAAGATATGGAATTGATAGATGGAGGCAGCCTGATAGAACAAAAGATTGGAACAACCCAACTAGGCAAACCCCAAACTCTAATTTTAGGAATAAAATGAATGATACATTCACTTCACAAAAAGCTAAAAGAAATGTGAGTGATTATTATAACATTAATAATCGGCCTGTCCACTCTCGCGAGCGAGAAGATACAAAGGTAGACAGCACAAAGTCTCCAGATTTCTCTACCATAGGGCTTGAAAATATTGGTAACACATGATACATCAACGTGATTCTTCAATGACTATTCCACCTGAAGGAATTCAATAGCATTTTCCTGGATGGATCTTATATGAAAATGCTCAATACATCACAAAGCAGTAAGATGTGTCAAGCATATGCTGAGCTTTTGGAGAAGACTATCAACCCTGCGACACCTGTGAAGCCATCTAGGTCCAAAATGTCTTGGAAGCGAAGCATCCAAGACTACTTATCAACTAAGGACTTTAAAAAGGAGTTGTGTCTTAATTTCCCTAACTTCAAAGGTTACGACCAACATGATGCCCACGAGTTATGCACATCTTTGCTAGACATCATGTGAAAAGAGTTAAATAGAGTCAGAAGAATGCCTAAGTATAAAGAGCTCAAGATCAAATCTTCAGAGAGCATCGAGAAGCAAGCTAAATAAGTATTCAGATTATTTCAAGGAGAGAGAGGACTCCCATGTCACCGACTGCTTCCAGGGCCAAAATATGACAGAAATTAAATGAAATAAATGTGGAAATGCCTCGTACTCCTTTGAGGCTATTATGTTCCTTCATCTTGAGTGAGACAATAAGAAAAGAATGAGCGTTGATGAACTAGTTGAGAACTTCTCTAAACCTGAGATAATCGATGATTTTAAGTGAAGTAAATGTAAGAAAGAGACAAAGCATACAAAGAAATCCTACCTCTATACAGTTCCCAAGTTTTTGATTGTGCATATAAAAAGGTTTGAGATTGGGTATTACTCTGCAAAGAAGGTTTCCACTACTGTAGAGTTAGACAACAAGCTTAAAATTCCGACTTATGACGGGAATATGGTCACTCTAAATTTATCAAGCATAATCCATCATCGTGGAAGCTTGAATTCTGGACATTACTATTGAGAAATTAAGGATAAGCTCCCTAGTGGAGAGAAGAAATGGCATATGTTCAATGATGAGATGGTATCTTCGGCCACGGTAAATGGCTACAGCAAGACATGATACATCATGTTCTATGAAAGAGAATCTTAAGATGAGCTTTAATAATTCTTTCAGTTTTCTGGCATCCTTTATTCAATTCACAATTCCAGGACCGGGGTTTTGGGGTTTTGGGGTTTTGGGGTTTTGGGG